ACACATTAACATGCTGTGTATTTGTTGTGTTTAAGTTTACTCAACATGAGAACCTTGATTTACATCCCGCAAACACAAATACACAACCTTTCATTTTAGTGCAGATTATAAGACAAACAAGAGGTGAATTAACACAACCTGTAGGAGCCATAATGAGGTGTATTTCATGTTTCTTTCTTGTGAATAGTAGTGAATAATATGGCCACAGGTCTGTTTACCCCACCTAGAGGACGGTTGGGAGGCTGAAGTTGGAGCCCAAGGAAAAGCTTTAAAGACAGGAAGACACAGCAGTGGGTTTGTCCTGAGAGGGAAACAGTCTTTTGACCGTGTGGTGGAGAGACGTGAGGGACATGACGTGACAAGCCGTCTCCCACCATATAAGAGCTGCTTCAGTTTAATTTTTTCTTATTTTCACCTCGTGTTTTTGGTTTGTACATTCTTTATACATTAAGAATAATAAATGGTCATTGCACCGAACCGGATCAACTTCTACTCATCTTTACAAACTGCACGCGTCAAGATATATGCAGCTCAGCCACCGGTAGAAGCTGATCAGGGAGTAAAGGGACGAACGGAAAAGGCTTCTACAGAACCAGTTAAACGCTTTGCCTCATCAAATAGGCCCACATCAAAAAGGAGAAACAGAGATGTCTTCAGATCGTAGAGAAGTGCTACAATTGAGGAACTTTCAGGAACGTGTTTGAGCAAGATAACAAACTCCATTTTTAACCACAAAAAGAAGGTTTGAAACCTAATGAAGTGTTAGATGTCACATGATCTGAACTTCTCAGATAAGCAAGCAGTCACATACGTACTGCTCATATCCGTAGCTACATGGGCCTGCAATGCATTGTGGTCCACCGTCCCCTGATGGTGCAGACACTGTTGGCTATGCTGTTTGATTCCTTTCCTTCATCCTGAGACTTGAGCAAAGTTTACTTGTAAATAATGTACCTTCCTCCTCAAGTAGCTCACTGTCACTGGTTTAGTGAGAAGGAAAGGAGACGACATTAAGGGGTCCTGTTGTATAAGAAATCATATCAATGATTTATTACAAATACAAAACATGCTCTAAAATAGAATTAGTCCGTCTCTGCAAATGATCACATGACAGAATATTTAGTCCGACCGCTGAAAGATCAAAATACTGACGAGCTTTATGATTCCCACAACTTTCTCTCTGACTTGAGCACCAACTCGTTCATACTGTTGATCACCTGCAACACAACAGCATGGTCACCTTCTACTTCAGGGAACATTTTATGACTTTAAAACATCACAAACCAATATTTCTGCTGCTGGAACCTTCAAATTACCCACAGTAATACAATCACATTAAAGTGATGATCCTGTGCATGAGCATCCCTCTGCTGGTGGCCTCCAGTTGCACTGATGACCACCTTAATGTCCTTTGGACGGTCTGGAAGATTCAGCTTAACGGGAGACTTTGCACTAATGAGAAAACAATTAGAATTTCCTTTAACAATGTTCAATCTCAAGACTTCAGATAATGGTGAAATACTTGTTTTTAAAGTTGTATTTCACAAGTGAGAATCCTCTAGACTCTGAGTAAACGACTTCCCCTGTTCTTGAACGTCCTCAGAATGTATTGAGTGTCAGACGCTCCCCACTTCTCCTTATTCATCTGTTAGAGCCACAAAGCTAAATAAAGGTTTCTCACCTCACTCAGAGTCGCAACACCAACTAAACATGTGAAAACGTGACAAACGAGAGGCAGATACTTTTCATTTTGGTCGTCTTGTACTGAATAAAATGTACTCCTGAGAATGATTATTGATGCATTATTAACTGGACTCCTGCTCTTGTGCATTTATATTTATTTCAATAATTGTCTTGTTTTGCCATTTCAGAAACAACAGTTATGACATGAACTGTTCTTTAAGATTAAGATCAAATATGAAACCATATTCTCTCCAGGCTTACAGGAGGATGTGCTCTTCTTTCCTATTTCCGCATGAATTAATTATTCTTTATGGTCCATCTTGTTAAAATGATGCTCTTGCTTCTACAAAGTGTAGATGTTGTGTGTTATTTTTACTTTGAGTGAGATAATGGTGTTCATCAATAATCTGCATGCACCTGTGAGCTGATTGTGTGTGTGTGTGTGTGTGTGTGTGTGTGTGTGTGTGTGTGTGTGTGTGTGTGTGTGTGTGCAGGAGTACGGCCTAGAAGAACGTACACAGAAATGTGCCGGGCAGAATAATTATACTAATAATGTATTTTGAAAAAGGCTAACAACACATTAGTAAAAAAATGTATTTATTTAACAACAGAAAACACAATTTGATAAAAAAAAAAATCTAACTGATTTCTACATCACTTCCTCCTACATCACTTGTAGCTCTACGTTCATGTTAATACTCTTTATTTAGTTGGTGTCGCTCATGTTGAATAGTTACTTCCCCAAAAGAATCAAGGAGTCTTTGGTAAAGTCTACTTCCCCTTCTTAAATTCACCCGGCGTCGCTTATGACTTCTGCTTCTTCTTCGCTGATCCTTTAAGGTTCCTATAAAGTTAAAAAGAATAGAACGAATAAGTTCAACATCCAGAAGGTAATGAAACATGTACAAGACAACGTGCTGTAAAAATGTGAAAACAAACCCCTCTGATGCAGATGGAGTCCTCATCATTTTGTCGTCGTTCTAAATGTTCCTTTCACTCAGACAATGATTTTAACTTGCGTTGGCATTTTATTTTACATCAGGACGGGCTTGACACTGCTGCACACATTAACCCAGAGAATGGAGAAAGGAACTGCACTTTAAAATGGACTTTTTCATTTTAAATCTCTACCAGACGGCGTAGTCGATTAAATAAAAGCTATTTGTAACTACTGCAAACTGGAATGATCTTATCACCGGAGTACTACGAGCCTGAAGTACCTCTTCATGGCGTCACACGGCATCGACTGCACCCGGGTTGGTAAGCGATGCTTTCATCAATGGAGAGGCCTTTTTATTACCTGCCTCAGTGGCTCCATCTGGTGACCGAAGCTGGAATCCCTCAATCACCTAATCAGACTCAAACCTCATCAATATCACATTACATTCAATGATTGATTACTCCTTTGACCTAAAGCTTCAATTAAACATATGGCATGCATCATATCATTATTATCTAAATTGTAATACACTCTATTCATAATATAATATTTAACTTGTTTTATGTAGTCCACAATCAAACAGGGAGCTACTATCTGTACACCTTCAACCTCCAAACCAAAAAAAACCTTTGTGGATAAAAATAAGGAAGAATTCTCACTGTAGAACCCTTTGGTTACACTTTCTTACAGTTTGTGTCTCAGAAGTAAAGCAACACCCGAGCAGCCTGCATTAAACGTGTTCACTAATGGACGTTGTAGGCGTCCATTTGCTGTACGAGTCTTTTAATTGGCAACACAGAGTCTTCATTGGAGCTTCTGTCACAGGGGCGTTGTGACGGTTCCCTGCTGTATTACTTGTGCGCCTGAGTCGCTTATGTTTGGCTACCATTTGAAAGAATTAAGATAATGGTAACAATGAAAATTGTGCATTATTTGCATGTAATTGTTATTCTTAAACCCCCCTGTTCTATGAGGTCTGAAGCCACGGCGGCTGCTGAGCATCAAGGTACTGAAGTGCACATCTGACCTTCATGTGGTCTGGGCAGCGATGTGGATGTGGGGGCCTGTTCGAGGTACCAGGTCTTTCTGGCAGAAGGAGACGGAGGAGTTGAGCAAGTTCTCCCAGCAAGTTTACATACTGTGATGTCTTGAGAGTTCGGCATCGTGAGGCGTGGGTGCAGAAAATAAAGATGACAAACAATGCTTCGAAAACTCAGTCTTGTATTCATCTTCCGTTATCAAAAAGGTGAACTTTATTCTGACAAGAAAAAGTCACAAAAGTGGTGTCCCCGTTAAGGAAGATGTCCTCAGGGTGCAAATCACCCTTGCTGAGACATGTGGTCTCTCACAGGCGACAGACCCACATGGTCCTCACCAAAGCCCAGGCTCTCAGCCATGTGATTAAGGTGAGGATCGAGGGGTTTGACTACGTTATGTTCGCCACATCGGATGACGGGAGGTGTTTCCGATGTGGTGGAGAGGGACACCTCCGAGGGTGTGTCCGGAGAAGCACCCCTCCACTCGGGACCAGAACCGGGGGGAGGCCAGGGAGGAAGAGGGGGAAGGTGAGGACCGGCGGGTCGGTGTGGTGGGAGAGGAGATGGGGAAGCTCCACCAGGTGGGTGAGGGGGCGAGTGTGGCGGTGGGTGAGGGGGCGAGTGAGTGAGTGAGGGGACGGGTGAGGCCCAGCCAGTCGGTGAGGGGGTGAGTGAGGGAGTGAGTGTGGGGGTGAGTGAGGGGATGGGCCAGCCCCACCCGTTTGGTCAGGGGGGTGAGGGAATGAATGTCGGAGTGGATGGGGGGTTGAGTGTATATGGGATGGATGAGGGGGGGGTCTTTAAGGTCCCCCACCTGAAGAGAAAGACGAGGGCCAGCAGGGGAGGCTCTCAGGCAATGAGGGGGGGGGGCGGCGAGCAGAGGGGAGGTGGGAAGTGGGGAGTCAGAGTTCTCTTCGGGATGGGGCTCTACCGTCAGCATCTCCTCGGGTGGGACGGTCACCAGCAGGTACGGGGTGGGGCAGGTAGAGGAGTTCCTGCAGGCCACCAAGAACAAGAGAGGAGTGAAGCTGGAGGAATACTTATAAAGTACATTACATATGAAGTTATCTGACTCCTCAGATGTGAATTAAAGCCTGATTTGTCTTAGTTGTTCACATCTGCCTGAGTCACTTATGTTTGGTCACAATTTGAATGTAATTTGCATGTAATTGTTATTCTTATCAAGGTACCGAAGCACAAATTTGACCTTCATGTGGTCTGGGCAGCGATGTGGATGTGGGGGCCTGTTCGAGGTACCAGGTGTTTCTGGCACAAGGAGACGGAGGAGTTGAGCAAGTTCTCCCAGCAAGTTGGAGCCGATCTACCTGCTCAGGTGGAGGCGGAGCTTAAGGCGCTGGAGGAGCGAGTGCACAAGTAGAAGCGCACAGACAGGAAGTTCAACCGGAAACATGGCCGTGGTCGCTGAGGACTCAGAATGCAGATAGTTAAGGTGCCTTCAGGAGTCACTGGCTGGGTTTACTTACTGTGACGTCTTGAGAAGTCGGGATCATGAGGCGTGGGTGAAAAAATAAAGACGACAATGCTTCGAAAACTCAAAGTCTTGTGTTCATCTTACGTTATGAAACAGGTGAACTCAATTCCGACAAAAAAAGTCCTTACAACAAATCATGAATCCCTTTGTTTTACTCCTCGTTCCTCCTCTGTAACGTGACATCACCTCCTTCTCTTCCCACGACTCCTTTTCTGCTCTTTCAGCGTCATCATTTGCAGCTGGGCAGCAGCTTTGGACCCGGCTGCCCTGCTGACTCTGGGAATTGGAGTGTTTTATTCCCCCGATGCCCTGGTGGGTTGTAGTCCCTGCTCTAACCACTGGGCGGGGATGTACCTCCCATTGATGACCAACCCTCTCATGACATCACAATGCACAGAAGCCTAATCACACTTTATTGGTTTTATTCATGTAAACATGAATCCTTATACAAGTCCTGTCCAGTCCTTAAGTCCTGAGGACCAGGTTGAGATTTGTCTTAGAAACATCACGCTCCTATTTGGTTTTCACAACATAGTTTGTTAACTGAAATGCAGGTTTTAGAGAGTTCTAGTACTCGCTGCTCAGTCAAAGATGATCAGATAAATGGAAAAGCTCGACCTCAAAAAACTAAAACAATAACCAGGCCAGTAAGGAATAACTTGTTTTTCAAAATAATCACAACCAGTGAGTCTCATCTTCCTCTTTTATGAAGGGAAATTTGTTAGGAAAAGACATTTCAGAGATAAAAAGCTAATAGTCTACGATGCAATGACTTGGGACGTGACTTCCCACTAATAAAACTGGAGACAGATGCCGGTGGGAGGACGGAGGTTTGTCCCTACAAGGTCAGATTTCTTTGACATGGTTGAACATATCACATAAAGAAGCTAATGTCACTGCCTCCATTCACTAAAACACAATCAACACGACCTTGTTGTTCCTTTTGAGACGTTTAATAACTGTTGAGAATGAATAAGTGTGTGAATGCATGTAACTGTATCTGTTCAGGAGGAGGTGCTGTTGTGCCTCATATGACATGAAGTCACATGTGACTGATGACATCACTACCTTATAAGGGCGAAGTTCACCCTCTCTCTCTCTCTCTCTCTCTCTCTCTCTCTCTCTCTCTCTCTCTCTCTCTCTGTACCGACTCTCACTGAGAGCAGCAGTCGTTCACTGTCAATAAACAATAAACCACGTGATTTATGACTGAAGAGACAAACATCAAAATCATTATTTTCCCTGTGACAAAAGTTCTACCTGTCAACAAACTCAAGTTATGGCTGCTAATGTTTTCAGGATGAAACCCAGAGATTTTGTGTAGCCTGATTAAAATAATGAGTGTTAAGGTTTCGGAAGCTCTCGAGGGAGGACTCAATCCTTTGTTCTCGTCCCGGCCGGAAACGAGGACACGAATGAGTCAATTCGTTTAAATTCAAAAATCAAAAGTTATTTAATAACTGAACAACGTAATAGGGATTACAATTACAAAGTGAAATACTAAGCGAACAGTGGAATATTTCGCGAAATAGAGAATTCTCTGAGCAAGTCTAAAGTGACTTATCAACGCGGCTGCAGGAGAAGATCTAACAGTCTTTCCCCGCTTTGGTCCTTTGAAAACTCTTGAGGTGTGTCTTCTTTGGTGCATTTGAATGTCATTGGCCTCTTCTCCAAAGGGCCACCTCCTCCATTGTCCCTTCCACGTCGAGGTGTGAAGCTGCAGCTGTAACCTGAAACCTCTCTGTCCTAGCTGTCCCTCAAATTCCAATGCACTCAATGCAGATACAGTTGGCTTTATGCCCAAATGAGTGAATTTACCAAAGCATACATCGTTTAAGTCTTCATCTTATAACTAGTACACTTTCATTACAACAACCCATCATTAATGATCACCGTTCATCACATTTCATCATAAGATCTAAAACAGTTCATGTGGTTCAATTCTCAAGACATTTGCCTCAGTCGGCTGCCTCGCAATAAGTTGTTCATTTTATTACCTGACAGGAGAAAAAACTCCCAAAAAACCCTTTTTGGGGATAAAATTGGGAGAAATCCATAAAGAACGGCAATTGGCATCCGTCCCCAGGTTTTAACATCACATTGTAACAGAATGTTAATGTGTACAGTGTTTATATGATTTAAATGACTATGAATTGTGTTTGATTGAAATTGCATTCACTTCATCTAACATGTTAATGTAATAACTAATATCTAATAACACACAAACTATAATTCTATCACTAAACATTATTACACGTACTACAAATTCCCTGACTAGGGATGCACTTCTGCTTAAATCCCTAACATGAGACAGGACACCAAGATGAATTCCTTTTTAATGTGGGTACTTTATTTGCCCCGACTGCCCTCCTGGAGCAATTTGTCAAATTTAGAAGACACTTAGGACAGAGTACAACAAACAAAACTGCTTTTTACCAAACTTTAGCATCTGTATGACGTGACAACATGGAATAGAGCCACATATAAGTGACATGTGTCACACATGACTCACCTGACATGAGAACTAGAACACAATTGAACAGGTGAAATGATTCTACACGTTATATAAGTTACACGCACAGATACATATAAATACAGTGTGTGTGTAGCTGCTCAACAACATAATGAATCACAACACTTTCTGCTCAATGAAACGCATCATTTTTATTCATTTTACAAAGTTTACATCCAATAAACACGAGATAAAATATAAGAGGATGTTTTTATTGATGATTTTTAGAAAGACACAGAAGAAGCTTATAAGCATTATTAACCCTTCATCTTTACAGAATACAAGTATTAAGAGAAAAGCAACACACATTGTTGTAAGAAGCACACTAAGACTAATGAATACAGAGAAGATGATACAGCTTCATAGCCTCCTCTTCTGCCTCATGGATGTAACTCCACCACCATGTTAACATAGTCGTCTCCTACTGCGTCCTGCAGTGGAAAGAGTTTTAGTTACTATACATACTTATATATAGATGAAAACAGATGCAGCTTGTCTTTGTGTTACAGATGTGTCCGTGTCACAGAACAGCATGGGAGCAATGCACCACCTAAAGTAGGTAGAACATGTTAAACACACACACACACTAAGGATAATGTTCACCATATCATCTTTATGAAGTGATGAAATGTCCATGTTGTGTTTACAGCTTCATGCACTGGCCCTTAATAAATGAATGCAGGTTTAAAGCTGTTCTAACTATGTTGTGTTTTAATAGTTCTTGCATAGTCTTCATTTTTGTAGGTTGTCATTGTGGATATTTTGTTCTTATGGATGAATGGAAGCACTTGAAGAAGCTTTTATGGCACACAGCTTAGCAAAGACACCATCCAGCAGACACAGAGCATCATCAGCATTCATTTGGAGACGTGCTTCACTGCATTGGAGGAGACTCTGCTCTTTAAACATCACCACCATTGAAGGATTATTCCTGTGCTAATGTTGTAAACCAAACAAGGGCCTGATCATGAAATATCTCTCCTCTTCTGATGTCTTACCTCCTGTGGTTTGGTGCAGCGTCTTGATTTCAACCAGCTGGAAGGAAAAGAAGAAGGAATGATTTTGTTAGTGTGAGCGATCAGGACTGAGACTCCGGTGCAGAGGAATAAAACAACAAAAAGATTTATTTCCAGGGTTCAGATCTTCACTTTTTCTCTTTACAAAGCCAATGAAAAGCAGCAGAGACACGAGCAGACTTTACACGCTGGGGAGGGAAAAGCTAAAGCAAAGACATTTGCAAGTTACTATGTGGTTATTATTTCACGTAAATGTAACATTTTATTGTTTTGTTAACCTCCCACCACTTGGGGGCGTAAGGACGCTGTAAATTAGGCCACAAGGTCGATATAATCAGCAGCATTACAGGAACAGGTGGTTGTTATTGTGAGGAGCAAACAGTTTGTAAGGACGTGCAAGAAGGTGCGAGTGTTGTTTAATGGTGTATGATAACCAACGGAAAAAGTGTTATGATATATTATTAATTTAGAGAAGGAAAAGGTGGATGAAGACAAACAAAGTGATCTCTCTTCTGTTTGTATTTGGAGAAGAAATGAATTACCATCAAAGACAAACTGGACTTTTTAATGGTTTATTTCACATATTAAAACGAGCAATCAGCAACTAAGGTGGCCTTCTTTTGGTGGTCAAAGGGATCAAGTAAAATAAATGATTTGTCTATACTTAAAGCACACAACTTATAAACTCAATATAGTGCATTTTTAGGAGATGAGGATGTATTGCAACAACTATAATACACTGTGAGCCTTTCAAATGTCAGCGAGTGACTCGGAATGAGTTGTTATATTTGACCTTCTGCATCTTTGTAAATGTATTCATATTATCATCATTATGAATATTGATAATGAATCATGCATTAATGCATTACAACATTCACAATGACACAAACTGGTGTGTATCTGTACACAATCGTATTGTAGAAAAGGTTTTCTCACCACTCAAAGATGAGCAAAGTAGTGACGAGCAGAATGATTCCCAGGACCTTCACGATGACTTGAGCACCAACCAGTTGATCACCTGCAACACAACGACATGGTCACCTTTAAAATGTTATCACTCAAATCACAATTCCTGCGGTGACCTTCAAATACCAACAGATGTTCTGTTGATAGCTGAATGTGCAGCTCATTTCTGCATCCACAATAACACAATGTGCCTCCATCACTGCTGGTCACTTCACAGCCATGAAGACTTGATGATGATGAGAAAAGATCAGGGGTCTCTTTGTTAAAGCAGTGCGAAGGATCCCCTCTAAATATGTGCACACGTTCAAAGGAGGAAATGCACGCACTCCAAAACACATCCAGATGTGTAAAGCATCGCGTTGCCAGTGAGCCATTTCATTTTAATAAATCCCAAATGAACCTGTGAAGGTGCACGACTGAACAAAAAGCTGCATCTCTAACAGAGTAACAAACATAATACAGTTCTGTGTTTACCTCCTATAGTCAGATGGATCTCTGATGATGTTTGATTACCAAGCTGATTGGTGGCCACACAGTAATAAACTCCTTCATCAGTGACATTGAAGCTGTAAAAGTCTCCATCAGATACTTTGATTGGTGCATCTCTGCTGGTCCTGAACCAGGTGAAGCGGCTCACAGGAGGTTTGGCTCTGCTGGAGCAGGTCAGGATCACCCGGCTACCTGCTGACACCCGACCTGATGGACTGATGGACACCGAGGTGTTCTTGGGAGCATCTGAGGAAAATGTGACATTAAAACTTCATGCAGCTGACATTGTGTGAACACATGAATCATCGTATGCTGACAGGATCAAAGAACAAACACTCACATGAAACACTGAGAGTCTTTCTCTCCTCTGACGTCTTTACATCTTTTCCTTCATTCACAGGATATCTGGCAGAACAGCTGATGATGAATCCATCATGTTCATGTGACAGAGTGATGCTCTTCTGGATTCTAGTTGTGAAGGTTCGATCTGTGTTTTCCTCCATCATGTGGTGAGAGTCTGGTTGGAGGTTCCAGGTGAGTTGAGGAGGAGAGTGTGGACAGGGAGTGGAAGCTGAGCAGCTTATAGAGACAGACTCCTTCTCCTTCACATCACCTGAGATCTCAATCCTGGGCTTTGGAGGAGAATCTGTGGTTTCAAATCAAACACAGATTGTACACTGAAAAAAGAGCAACAGGACTTGAGTCTACAGTCTGTGATGAAAGTACTCTTCTACATTTGAGAGCATTTTTTTTAAACTTTTACTCCAAGATCAGATGTTTGATTATGAATAATTTATTGAATAATGTGTTTGTTGTGTTCTGATGTTTTCTGAATGTCAGCAGATTCATTGACATTTCTCCTCTGAACGTCTCACATGGCTTCATTTAATAATTACACTACTTCATAATAAAGCAAAGATTAGAGTCCAATATATATATGTATATTACTCATATGTGCCGCAGAACCTTTTCTCTTTTCTTTTCCCACCAATCACCTCATGACCCCTCAGATTGAACTTATGACCCTTTATAGGCAAAAATACAATGTTAACTTGCTAATTAATGTTGTCAAAACGCTGATGGTAAACAGTCAAAAAATTGTTTAAAACTTTTAAAACTGTTCGTTTTTCCAGCATTAGTGCAAAGGTCGGCATGTTCAGGAAGCTTTCTCATGGGATTCTTAATAGTAGTAAACAGAAACATAAATTCATATCCAGGAAATGTAAACATTTCAATCCCTGGTTGGTGTCTGTAGATATTAATATTCACATTAAAAGTTTGAATGAAAAAGAAACAAGTAGATGCTAAGTAATAACATCTCAGATTGTTTTATGAAAAACAAAAGTCTCTTACCTTTAACTGTTATTTGAAGAACATCACAAGCAGCTGTTGCTAGAAATGGCCGGTTCTCAACCCTGAAGTAGTATTTTCCTGTGTATGTTGTTTTTAAATTGGAAAATAAAGTGGTGCAGTTTTTCTGACTCAAGTCTCCAGTAAAACTCATCGGATATGTGGAAACTGTCCCACTACTGTTGAAAATCACATTATTTGGATTAAGGCCAAATTGAGGGTCATTTTTAATCCACACTCCAAAGGTTGTTGTTGTGCTGTTGAATTCCAGTCCTTGTTTAACACTGAAGTTACATGGAATTTGCAAACAAGATCCAGTCAGTGCTTCCATCTCTTTTGGTGCAGTGATGATTAGACCTGAATCCTCAGAACAAGCAGCAGAAGCACCTGTGAAACAAACTAATGATTAACAGTGGTGATTAAAATGTGTAAAAACACAACGATAACATGAACACAAAGAGAAAAATACTTCAGCAGTAATGTTTTGTGTTGTTTGTTCTTTTTTTCCCTGAACAGTTTTTGTGTTGATTCATCTTTTTGGTTTTACAACTTTCCCCCACAAGGCCGAGCCCAGTGGGACCAAACCCGTCTCTGTCTCCAAATAACTACGTCACTTTTGTCTCCGTGATAAAAGAGCTCAGCAGGAAAACACAGATTGTAACATTCACATGAATTTAGGTTGAAATGATATTTTCCAAACAGTAAATGATTGAAGTGAAACACAATTGAGTGAAGATGAAGCTCACCTGAGGGGAAGAAGACACTGTGCAACACGATGGCTGTCACCATCCTAACAGACTGGTCGGCCATGACACTCACCACCTGATTCACAAACACAACATCAGTGTTCTAGGAAGCGTCCAACATGCTGTGTGCAACCACAAGTTCCTGTGTGTGAAGAGACCACAGCTCACAAGTCTGTGGACGAGTACGACTCTGAGTGTTGGATGAGAATAAAACTATGAATGTCTCCCTCTTACCAAAGAAGCCCACGTCCATAACAGAGGGACAATTAGATCAAGTGCAGGTCTTTGTTTTAGCAGAGTTCTCCCCTTAACTGCTCATATCCGTGAGTCTATATCATCTTTATGTATCACACACATCACAATAATAATAATGTAGCATTAACAGTCAGTGACTTGAGTTTAGTCACTGTGAATAACTCTGAGTCTCTGTTGCTCTGCATTACAGGACTGGTGAACCTGAAACACTTTCATTGTGTTATTACAATTTAAACTTTAAATAAATGACTTTAGCTAAAACATTTCCTCATTCAGAGTTTTTACTTCCTCTTCAACTCAAGTATTTATTCAAATTTTGCACACTCTCACTGCATTGATACAACAGGCATTCGGTAAACTTGTTTGTGAATAATTTGAAAGAAATCTCTTGTAACTTGATGATATTTCAATAAAAAAGGATTGTATATTCATAAAAATGAAGCATTGAAGGTGACATTAACTTACATTGAGTGAGTGTTTCTTCTTCAGTGCAGTCTGCTGTCTGACAAGTTCAATGCAGAAGTCACAGGTCTTTGAACCAAGATGGTCTCTGAGAGGAAGGAGGAGGAACTGGGAGGTGGAGACAAATATCACTGCTGGTCTTCCTGCAAATGGCAGATAAAATATAATTCACACACACTTGTATTGTACTAAAACCACAACAAAACTGTCTATTAATTCACCAGCCAAATGATTAAATAAATGTATTTAACTTAAGAAAAGGCATTTTGATTTCAAGTCGATGGTAGGCCACACGTAATAAACTCCTCCATCATTACAGCAGTAAAAGTCTCCTTCAGAAAGGAAAACGTGTTGATTAAATAATGTTTGGAGCTTCGAGTCATTAATCTGTTGTTTCCGAATGAAACGTCTCTTACCTTTAACTCTTATTTAGAAGGAATCACAAACAGCTGTTGATAGAAATGGACGGTTCTAAACCCTGGAGTAGTATGTGTCTGTGTATGTTGTGTTTAAACTGGAAAATAAAGTGGAGCAGTTTTTCTGACTCAAGTCTCCAGTAAAACTCATCGGATATGTGGAAACTGTCCCACTACCGATGAACACCATATTATTTGGATTAAGGCCAAATTGAGGGTCATATTTAATCCACACTCCACTCCGTTGTTGTTTTGCTGTTTAATTTCTCTCCTGATTTAGGGCTGAAGTTACACTTTGCAAACAAGATCCCTGTGGTGGAAATTTGAGCGAATAAAGGGAGACCTACAAAGAGAAATTTTTCTTTGTATATTTTAACAGACGTCTGCGCAAAACGACTGAGCCGAACAGTTCACAATCAACCAACTGCTCTGGAATCGGTACCGAGAGGATCCCAGTCAGGGTTTTTATATGCTTGAAGACAGTAAATCAATGATCATCATCAGAGGGAGACAATTAAATGATACAGAGATGTTCAGAGAGGGTTTTTCAGTCTCTGTTCCCAAGGACAAGTGGATCAATTATATGAGTTGATCCACACAGTTCAGGTTTAGCTGGAAAAGAGTTCTGTGGGACCTTCCATTATACAAGTGATTTGGTGGAACTCAGCACAACCAATTAACCGATAAGCCTTTCCATCGCAGGCAAAAGGTTCGATGGGACGCAAGCTCAACACTTCCAGTTCCGTAGCTGTGCATCGTGTGCCCCAGATGACAGGGGAACAGGTTCAATAGTGGTGCAGTTCACTTTCCCTCTACATCTCCCCCTTCAGATCATACAGGATAGATAGATAGATGAAAATAAAAAAATAAAAATCATGGCCATAACACATTACAATATATAACAGTGCACAACATCATGGTTAGAATCATTTACCATTGTAAAAAGATTCACCAGGCATGAAAGAAAAACCTGTTCACGGGAAAAAAATGAGGAAGAAATCCCTCAAGGAAGGATTGGACAGAAATCAGGTTGATCATCACAGTACTGTTGTCACATTATGGAATGATGTAAAAGATGTACAATACAGTCGAATCATGTTACAGAAATAGTTGAAACGCACATACATGTTATCATAAGCATGGGAAAATCAAAACACAAGTGAAGGAAATGAGTAATAGTAATTAAAGTAATATGCCGTAAATGGTTACATAATTTACAGCACACATCAGTGATATCACGTCATCAAGATTTAAGATAACACGTCATCAATCCTTCTGTCTGGCCTCTGTGTGTGACCTTTGTAGTTCGGTTCCTCTGATGTGTTTGATTGTAGCTTAGCACGCTACTTGCTGGCAGCTCCAACAGATGGTTGGTGTTCGTCAGGTCCCACGACACGTTCGTTGGTAGCTTAGCACGCTACTTGTCGGCAGCTTCAATAGCTTCAATCACAGCGGTCTGGCTCATCAGGAGAACCTAGAACGGACCTGTGAATCACCGCTGCTTCCAGTGCGTCCTCCTGAAGTCTTTACTCACCACCCAGTCGCCAGGCTTGATGCGGTGTTCTAGCGTGTCAGCTGGTGTGGGCAGCGTGGCTTTTACCTGTGAATTACATTACATTACATTACATTACATGTCATTTAGCGGACGCTTTTATCCAAAGCGACGTACAATATGTGCATTCAACCATAGGGTACAAACTCAGGAGAATGGAGAGCTGGAAGAGAAGCCGAGAGGCCTACGCAGTAATTCAACATGCAGTCATCATAGAGTTTGGAGTCTCGAGAAGTAGCCCCTGGTCTAAGCCCTA